TATAGTACATGTTTACGTTCTTTGTGTGAAGTTGGTACATGTGCTTAACATATCTGAATTCCTTTCATCACCCCCTTTCCCTTCCCTCTTTTATTCTTTCATCTCTTGCTCCCCTTTCCATTAAAATTATCCAAGATCTTTCCATGAAAGATCTGTCCCCCCCCTTATTGTCTTTTATTTTGATCTTTATTTATAATTTAAGTTTTACATAGAAGAGAAACTATGCAACAGTTAAGTTTGTGTGTCTGATTTATTTCACTTATTATTATGGTCTCAAGGTATATTCAGTTTCCTACAAATAACGCGTTTATCTTTCTTTGTGACAGTACCAGTCCATTGTGTATAAATACCACATTTTCTTTACCCACTCATCTATTGACTAAGGTAAAGGATGCTTCCAAGGTTTAGCTATTCTACACAATGTATCAACTATTGTAACGGTTCAACTAACCTGTTTTGAAATTTGGTTTTCATTGTTATGTTTTTATCTGTTTTTCTTTCTTTACAATAAAAATTCTTTAAAAAGAAACTTTAAAAAGTTTTAGCTTTTCTGAATTGTGTTACTGTAAACATGGATATTCATTTATCCACTGTAGTGTGATGTCTAATTCTTTCAGGGCGATACCATGAAGGGGAATAGCTGTATCAAATAGGATTTCCAAAATTCTTATGTCCCATTTCTACCGGTTGAGTCATCTTGGGTTTGTTCTTTGTTGATTTTCTTCTCTTGAATATGAATCAGTCTTTCCTGTTGTTTAGTTCATTTTAGTGGACAATAAACTTGACTGAACCCAAACTACAAATTCTGGAATCTCAGATCAGTTATTTTAACCTTAGCATGTCTACTTAGAATCTATCTTAAGTTTAGAGCTCAGATGTGTGCAAAGGATTTAGGGCTTCCTCTTTATGGTTCTTCCCTTTCAGCCTTTTTGGTCATGTCAAAGCCTGTCATTTGGTTCAACAAGCAAATAACAACTACATCTTCTGGGTCTGCTTTGTGACTAAAAGCCATGTAAAAATGGAAGATCATCCTTGTTATTCTCTTCTTTCAAATATTGGCCTCCTTGTTATTCTCTTCTTTCAAATATTTCTGTTTCTGCCTTCTACTTTCCAATCAGTGTTTTTTATACTTTGTCTTGTATATATAATTTTTATTCATTAAGAGTTAGTCTACAGGAGCTGTTTAGCCAATATAGGAAGTCTACCAAATTACAGTGGTAGCTGGGCAACAGTTACATACAGTTGTAATCACAGCTATTGAGGTGACTGAAGCAAGAGGATTGAGAGTTAACCCAACCTGGTCAACTTAGCCTGGACTCTTTCTTTAAAAAATGGGGGGGGGGGGCCAAGAAAATGTAGCTCATTTGAAGACCCTGAATTCAATCCTCAGTGTGGATTGGAGTGGAAAGAAGAGGTATGAAGATGCGATGGTGGAAGAGAGACAGAGAAGCCTTTTTGATGGAAAAGTTGGCCAGGGAAGTAGTCACTAGGAAGTACCATATGATCAGAGACCTTAATGAAATAAGAGGGAGAGCCATGCAAGTATCTAGGAAGAATGTTCCAAGCAATAGGACTAATAAGTCTGAAAGCCCAGTGGAAGGAGTTTCATTGGCTTCTTTGAGATGTCTCCAGGAGATCATTTAGAACCAAGGAACAAAGAGAACGGTAAGAGATAAAGTAGGGTAGTGGTGGTTAGTAAGAGGCCTTATGAAGCCCAGTTTTGAACAGAAAGGGTGATCACTCTGATTTCTTTTCACAAAGTTAACTCTGGTCACTAGAGAAAAGACTGGGAGCCAGATGAAAGAATAAAAGCAAGAAAACCATTTAGGAGACTTGTAGAGTAAGGAATAAGTATTCTAAGTGAATTATGGTGGCTCATACAAAAGCAGTTAATGGGTGAAAAAAGTGATCAGATGTAAAATACACTTTGTAGGTAATAGTCTTGATACTAGAGTAAATGTGGGATAGAATAAAAACCAACTAGATGAATGATGAAATAGAAAAGGCTGGAGAGGAGTTAGCTTAGATATAGGGGAATTAAAATCTGAATTTTGGGTGAGCCAGCAGCGACCACGCATCTCTGGAAGAGAACCAAGAAGAAGCCAACCCCTTCCTATAAGCCAGCAGCGACCATGTATCCCAGGAAGAGAACCAAAAAGAAGCCAACCCCTTCTTGTGAGCCAGTGGTATTCATGGGCCAGGGCAACCCCTTCCTGTGAGCCAGCAGAGGGCAGGTTTGGAGACAAGAAGTGCCCCACCCCAACCCGAAACATCTGACGGATTTGAGACACACAGGCTTGAAATGATAGCCACTGAAGTTAAAAAAAAACCCACACCCTTAATGTCTATATTGTTTGACTTTGCAAACCTAAAGGTTGTAGTCTGAGCATTTGTTTAGAGGATAACAATGTGCAGTATAGCAACTACAGGGGATTTCCTTCTGAAAATGGTAGCCATTGTTAATTCCCTATTATCTTGTTTTAAAGTCCTGTATCATTTTCATTGTTTTGTTTTGTTTGACTTTATTATATCTGATGGAATGGGGAACTGTTTTGAAGATAACAAGATATATTATGGTAGCCATTGTTGATTTCCTGTTATCTTGTTTTGAAGTTCTATATAACTTACATTTGTTTTGATTGGTTTTATTCTGTTTTGTTTCATTTTGCTATGCCTGATGATATGGGCAGTTATTTTGAAGATAACAAGAGGCATTATGGTAGCCATTGTTGATTTCCTGTTATCTTGTTTTGAAGTTCTATATAATTTTCATTGTTTTGTTTTGATTGGTTTTATTCTGTTTTGTTTCATTTTGCTATGCCTGATGGTATGGGCAGTTATTTTGAAGATAACAAGAGGCATTATGGTAGCCATTGTTGATTTCCTATTACCTTGTTGTAAAGTCCTGTATCACTCTCACTGTTTTGTTTTGATTGGCTTTATTCTGTTTTATTTTGTTCAGTTTTATTCTCTTTAAGATTTCTTTTTAAAGCTTGATTTTGGACATGGTAAATTTGAAATGAATTTTAGATAGCCAAAGGAAATGTCAAATAACCAATTGGATATATTATTCTGGAGTTCAAGGAAAAGATTAGGTTTGAGACAGTAATTTTGTCAGGTCTTAGTGTATATTTCCTTAAAGAGGAATGTAGATGAATTTGAAAAGAAACCTATTTCTAAAGTCCATTTGTGAGCCAGGGATTTAGCTCAGCAACATAAGCGCCTGCATGGCAAGCAGGAGGTCATGCGTTTGAACCCAGTACCAAAAATAAAAATAAAATAAAAGTCCATTTGCATGGTCAACAATTAGATATAAAGAAAAAAAAGAAGATTTGGCAAAGAAAACTGAAAAGATGCTGCGAGTGGATAGAAGAAAAAACAGGAATATAAATCTCAGAAGCCAAATGAAGAAATTGTTGAAAGAATGAGAGAGTAGTTGTTTCAAGGAGTTCTAGCCCAAAATGGGAGAAATTCAGAGAAATGGGCTGATATCTGGAAAGAAATCACGAGAGGCTTTCTGAAGATGAGCAGCTCTATAGCATGTTTATCACTGTCTTAATTATTTTAAAGTATTATTTATTAATTTCCAGTATTTCTCAAATCTCCTGCAAAACATTTATAGAACAGTACTTTGAATGCTAAAAGGTGTGTGTGTGTTGGTATGTGTGTTTTACATAGAAACACTGTTAGGAAATTGTACTGCAAATAGCTTGGTTTGGCAATGATTTTTACCTGTGAGATGTAATTGACCTGAAGTCACATCAGCAAAGTAATTTAGTAAAATTCAATTGAATGATAAAATATCTGAATGACTTTTTATTCTCTGGGGGACTTGGTACTTCAGCTGTAAGCAAATGTACTTTTAAAATGCTGTCATTTATTATTCTGAAGACTATAAGGTAATTAGCTACCCAGTAATGAACTAAAGATCTAAATTTACAGGCTTGTATTTTTTAAACTAATGTTTTTGAAGTTAAAAGAAATACTATAAATAAGAAAATAGTTTTAAGGAGATTGTGTCTTTAAATTTATTCTAAATTATATTTTAATTAAATAATATGGTTTAAAGTTATTTCATTCTAATATATTTATATTCTTTTATGTCCTAAAGAGATTTTCTAGATTAAACCTAGTTTACATTAGACACATGAGTTTAGGGAATAGTTCTTTTTTTGTGGGGAGGATTGAGATAGGATCTCACTGTGGGGTTCAGGCTAGACTTGACTTCACTGTGTAGCCCAAGCAGGCCTTAATTTCATGGAGATCCCCCTGCCTCCAATTCCTCAATAATCCAGACATGCGCCACCATGCCAGCTCAGAGTTGCTTTTTTTATAGTAGCCTGGGAGTAATTCTTGACACTGGTTACACATTAGTCACCTAGGGAACTTTAGAAAATTCATATGCCCAGGCTGCTAATTAAATGAGAACTACTATGGTTGAGGCCCTAGTATTTTTTAAGTACTGATTTAATAGACAAAGCAAAAATGAAATGCTCCAAAGGCCATGAGAATGAATTGATTATACACTAAAAGGTTAACATGCCTGAAAAAACATGAGATATTAGATTATCAATTATTAAATTTTAGGCAGCTTGCAATATTTTTATAGAACACTAAGAATTTTAAGTAGAGCTAGTAAAAATTTTTACCTCCATCACCCTTAAGAAAAAAACCAGTAGTCATTCATTCTCATTCTTCTCTTAGAAGAGTAATAGAGGAAACCATGAAAGTAATTTCTTTCTTATTTGAATGCCTTTTGGCACTGTATTTATGGAACAAGCACATCCAAAGGAGTTAGACATTGTAAAAGTTTGCCCTCAGGCGTTATACTGAAGACAGTTTTAACCATATTGAAAGCATTATAGGTCTGAGTAATATTTTCATAGTTCATGTTGTTGGATGCTAATAAGGCACATGGCTTTTCATACTAAATTTTTAAGTCCACAGCAATTTTTAGTCTATAATCAATTCTCATTAAAATTTTTTTGTTTCTTTCACAGAAAATGCTTGGACAGAAGAGATGAGTACTAATTTCACTAAGGCCTAAAATTGCCTGCTGTACAGATAGTCCTGATTAGGCAATATACGAATGGCCCAAGGAAGCCACCAAATTGATTTTCAGGTTTTACGTGACCTGCGACAGAAATTCCCTGAAGTACCTGAAGTTGTTGTATCCAGGTGCATGTTACAGGTCAGTGTTCAGTGATTTTTTAATTTATTATTACAAATTTGGTGTCTTTCAAACATTGGAAGAAAACATTAAGTTATCTTTATGTTCGTGTTGTTATGCTGTGATAAAACGAGATGAACTTTGGTGTCCAATAGCCATGTGACCTTTGGCAAGATTCAGCTCTATTGCATATGCTGTGTGGGTCATATCATGTAAATATAAAGATTAATGAATTCTGAATATAAAACACTAATATATTATCCCATCTTACTAGCGATTAGCGTGCTTCATTGTCCCCCCTCTTGTTTTATCAGAACTTGTTTAAAAATTTCAGGTCTTTGTATAAAAGTGAAAAAAATTACTAAATTAAGGAGTCAAAAAACAGATCTAATATTAATTGATACTGCAATCATACTTGGGAAAACTGTATTGTCTCTTTGTATTTGTAAAATGAAAGAGTTGGAGTTGTCAGTGGCAAAAGATTTTTTTTTTTAATTTTTAATACGTAAGTTTTCCAACGAATGTCAGTAACAACTATTTCCTGTGTCTTGACTGATATACACAATTTAGAAGTCCATAATTTTGAATATTTGTAGTCATTCCTTTCCATTTGATTAGACTAGAAATCTTTGTATCAAAAAGTGTTTTAAGCTTGGATTTATTAACCTTGGCAAATAACTTTTAATGCTTAAAAGGAAAGCTGATAAGGAAATTTTTATCAAATCTGTACTTGATATCAAATGATTATATACATTTTGTTCACTAACCTTATGTTGTATCTATACTTTTAATTGATCTACCTGCCTTTATCCTAACTGACTTTTGGTCTTTCCAATCAATCCTCTTCTGCCAGAGTGTCTTTTTAAAAGAAAATTTTGTTGTGTTTATACACTTAAAACTTTCTGATTGTTCACCTACACTTTAGAATGGATTTCCTATGTCTTAACTAGTCTGTACTAGTCTGTGATCTGAAATCCTGGCTGTTTCTACAACCTGAAGCTTTATCCAATTCCTTCGTATACGTTTAGCTACATGACATTCTCCAAAATATCTTACCTTTCTATAATGATTAAGAACACAAGTTTTGGTGATATATACATTTGATCACATTTTGGCACCGTCAGTAGTTTAGTTAACCTCTCTGACTCATCTTCTGACTTTCTTTTCCTCAACTTTGTATATCAATAACGGCAGGAGAAATCTACATATTATAAATACATAAAAATATGTATATTTTCATATTCCTGCTAGCCTAACTGCTGCAGGAATTAAAAACACAGTTCATAAAAAAGTCACCCAAGTACCAGGCATTTAGCTCAGCTGCACAAGTGCCTCCCTGGCAAGCATGAGGTCTTGAGTGAGACCCCTGGTACCAAAAAAAACAGTCACCCATAGAGAATAAAAGCTAAGAGAGAATAGGCCAGAAGGGGAAAGAGTTAGAATTGAGATTTTTATATTATTATTTTGATCTTTGTAAATATCCTGCTTAAAAATACAATAATTCAACATGTTTTTCAACTTCACCAAAAATCAGAAAATAGGTAATTTTGGATTTCCTCTGGGCACCCAGGAGTTTCACAAAAAAAAAACACTTCTGTTTGCCATGCTTTCCAACAGTTAGTGCAAACTAAAATGAAACCTGTTTGCTTGGAACTTGCTTGTGAAACAGACCATACTTTTTAGAGGTTAATTGATAGCAATTCTCTGTATCTAGGCAGGTTTTTTTTTTAGCTGATGAAACAAAAAATGAGACAAGAAAGAAAAAAAAAAACAGTTTCTCTGGGGATAGCAAGAGTGACAATCTCCCAAATTTAAGAAAATACTTCTGTTAAAGTAAAAAGGCAAATTAAATGACCTCTAATGTAATACAAACATCTCTTGTTTGGAAGTAGCCTCTCCTTGGGGAGCTGTTTGCCCTTTCTTAGTTGAGCATTCTCGGGAGGAGATCCTCCCTATAGTATACTCGTCCACAACTTTTAAAGAAAAGGGTCATGCCATATTGCTTCCCTGTGTAACTGTTCTTAATTTATGTCCTGATTCTTAGAACCTAAGAATCCCTCTTCTGTTTTCTTCTTGACTGTATGCTTAGATCTTTTTTTTTTTTTTTTTTTTTTTTTTTTGTCTTTTTCTTTTTTATCGGTACCAGGGATCAAACTCAGGACTGCCTGCTTGCAAGGCAGGCGCTTATGCCACTGAGCTACATCTCCAGCCCCCTGCTTAGATCTTTTTAGAGCTACTGTACTCATACCTCATATTCTCTGAGGTAGCTATGTTATCAGCAGTATGATTTGTAACTTTAAAATTTGTTTTTATATTTTACAGTTGAATCATAGCATAAAATAGTGTGAAAATTTTACATGATTGGCACTTTCATTTTAAACTGAATTTTTTACTATTTGAAAATTTCCCTATGAGAAACTTGTTTAAGAATGTTGTTTTTAAAATAATTCATTAAGAACTACTGATTCAGTATTATGTACTACTTAGTATTTAAATTGTATCTACTTAGCTGAAGCCTTTTCACATGGCCTCCATCCATAGACCTTTATCTGTATTTCTAACTTCCTCCATTCTGCATTGTATTTACATATGTACATTAATCTGATCCATTAGGCTGAGATCAGCTGTTTTATGGGTTTCTACCTGCCAAGTAGATAGCAGTAAATGTTTGAAGGAATGAATCAGAATGTGAGTGTTGTCAGTGGGTTTCCTTTGATACTATCTGAGAAGTTCGGGGAAAATGAAAGAGAAACTGGAAGTTATGATTCAGACTTTTTTGTAGCTTTGAAGAGAATACTGATTTCTGGCTTGTACACACAAAAAAGCAAGAATTTTTAAAAACTCATATCCCACTCATTCTAATACACTTTAAACTGAAGGTTCCCACAGTTTCCCACTAAAAAATAATCAAAGATCTTTTAGGAAATGGTTGATTTCAAAATGGGGCATGTACAAGATGAGCTTATGTATCTTGTCATATCAGAAAGCAAGGAAGCTAATAAAAGACTACTCAGCTCATGTCATAAGTACACAGGAGTCAACACAAAGCTCTTTCTACTGGCCTACACATATGGTATGATAAACACAAAACATTACAGTAAATCTTAGCCGGCTTTGGAAATTTCTAGGGTACCAACTTTAAAAATTACCCTGCCTCCTCTTTGCAAAGAGTAACCAACTAGTTGATAGCAAACCTTCAAGAAGAATTGATGCTAATAAATAAAGATATCTTACAGTTAACATATGAACAATATCACCATTTTTCAACCCCTAATGAATTAGTATTTCTGAACAGTAGTTACCAATAGCTGCTTAAAATCTTTAGCAGTGTGAAGTTGATAACATAAGATTGCACCGAGAATGTGATGTCCATAGAGAATAAGTAGCGGAAAACCACGAATGACTGCATAGCTGGGACTGAGCTGTTGCTACTTAATAAATACTTACAAAGGATTGAAAGGAGTTTTGAGAACCTCAGAATTTCAGAGGAAGACTTTGTAAAAATGAGTATGAAGCATTTACAAGAAGAATATAGAATTGGATTTGGGAATGTAAAATTAGATTTCAACTTGGGAACAATGACAAGTTGAAAAAAAGGTAAGGTCTGTCTCTGTGAGCTTTGGCTTGGTAGGAAGAATTTACTAGGCATGGCAATAAAGTTGTTAACTTTAAAAGCTCCCATTAGATTCAGCAAAAGATAAAAGTCTTGTTTAAATGACTATTTTGTATCAGTTAATAAGGATTATAATCATTTTTCCAACTTTACTTGAAAAACTAGTAGGTGGATATCAATTCAGAGTTATGAGTAGAATAAAATGATTTCATGAATATCATGAAAGATACAAATTGTTGGTTCTGGGAGGAAAGAAAGTCAACCATTGCTCTCTAACCTTTTCTTTCGTGTTTCTGTTCATTGTGAACTACCATTTCTTAATAAAACTTCAGGACATCTTTGTTGTCTAGTGCTTTTTTACATGCTTTTATCTGTTATCAGACTACTTGTCAACATTTTAACATCATTTCCTTTTTTATCTTTTTGAGACATGGTCATTCTGGCTGGCCTGTAGATCACTTTGTGGCCCAGGCTGGTCTCTAACTCTGACTCACAATGATTCTCCTGCCTCAGCCTCTGGGTGCTGGGATGACAGGCATGTGCCACCATGCCCAGCTTCTTTTTTATTTTTAAATGTTTAAAACTCTCCCCTTCCTCTCAGGTTCCTAGTCTTTCAGTTCTCTTTGAATTTTTTTTCTCACTTAATGTCCAGATGGTGTTGTGCTCATGTCTTCTGTTGTTTTGTTAAAAGGATAGTCATTTCTTTTCATCCTAAGTATGAAAAAATTATCTACCACAAATACCCTTTGTGTGTCTACTTTCCTGTTTATCTACCTTCAGTAGCTCTTTCCATAGTTTGTATTAAAAACCAAACTCTAGTATGATTTGATTTTCAAAATCCTTCATTATTAAATCCCAGCCTGCTTTTGCAGTAATTTGTTTCACAAAACTTCTGATACAAACTTTTAACTCCAGTGAAATCTATTCTAGTCACCTTGTTTGGAACTTGCTTTTGTCTACTTTTACACTTACGTCTTTTACTCATTCTATAATCTTCACGAATCCACCTCCCAAGAAGTCCTATGATACCATCAGGCCATACCTCCACCATTAACCGAGTCCTTTTTTACAATAGTATTAACAGTGTCAAACTTGAGTTCCACCTGTTGTTTGGCACACTCACGTAAAAATGTCACTGTTTCAAAAGTTATGATTTATCTTCCAAATTGAGTTGAAGGCTATTTTAAAGGAAAAATTCAGTCTTAACAATGCTGTGCATATGATAGCTGTTCAGTTAATATTTTTGTGGATGATTTATGACTAATGGTTAGTCTGTTTCTTTGGAGCATTCTCTAAAAACAGTCTGGTTTTGTTTCTTGGGTTTTTTTGTTTGTTTATTTCTCTGGAATGGGTTTTTTTCTTAGTACATGTTTATAACTCATACAGTTTACAGTCATCTTGGGTAGTGGTTACATGTGCATACTACTCCTTTTCAGTCTCTCCCCCTAACCCGGCTTCCTCTGGATTCTCTGAGGAGTAACTGGCAAAAAATTTTTCCCATTCTGTAGGGTGTCTCTTCACACTACTTATTGATTCTTTTGCTGTACAGAAGCTTTTTGTTTTTTAAGAGCAGGATATATTTATTGAGAGAAAGAAAGCTTCCATCTAAGAGAGAGACAAAAGGGTTCTGTAGGTTGCCCTATAGAAGCTTTTTGACTGATACCATCCCATTGTTGATTTGTGCTTTTACTTCTTGGGCTATCAAACTTTTGTTTAGAAACTCTTTTCTCAGAAGTATTTTTGTATGATACTCTGTAAAGGTAGAGATATGAATTCACTCCAGCACTTAGCTCCTACAGGCTATCTTGCACTTGTAATTTATATATACATACAGTGGTGCCTCAGTTCACAAACGTAATTTGTTCCATGATTTCTGAAAAGATGGTCACAGTCATGTTCGTCACCTAATGTAGAGTTTGTAAACAAAAACAAAATTTTGTCTAATGTTTTGCCTAACGTATTTGTAAGCTGAGATACTGCTGTGTTTTACACAAGAGGAAGCATGTGAATTCAGATTACTTTGATATGCATTTTATAACATTTTTATTTAAATATCAATTTATTTAAAGGGTCATTAATTTTAAAAATACGTGTAGCACTTGAATACACATGCATTGGTAGAAGTTTTCTTCCAAATAGTTTGAGAAACTTTAAAATTATTAACTTTTTAAAAACGATTTAATCATACAATATTATATACTTAAGTGGAATGATTACCTTAGTCAGTATTGAAATTGTATTTTAATTAGATTGTAATTTTACTGCATTTGTGTGGTACATTTTACTAAATAGCACCTCCTAAAATAATAATGATTTGATTCATTTTTGTTACTAGTAACAGTTTTTCCATTACATTAGCAGTGAGGATTTTTCGTTCAGCTATTTGCATAAAAAGTAGTGCTTCTCACAAAGTTTCCATTGTATCTGTTATTATATAGAATTTTTGGTGATTATAGTCTTTATTTTCTTTTAATTATTAACATGAAGTTTTTTTTTTAATAGAATAATAATAACCTGGATGCCTGCTGTGCTGTTCTCTCTCAAGAGAGTACAAGATATCTTTATGGTGAAGGAGACTTGAATTTTTCGGATGATTCTGAAATTTCTGGTCTACGCAATCACATGACTTCTCTCAATTTAGACTTGCAGTCAGAGAATGTTTATCACCATGGAAGAGAAGGAAATAGAATGAATGGAAGTAGAACTCTAATGCACAGCATTAGTGATGGACAACTTCAAGGTGGTCAGTCCAATAATGAACTGTTTCAGCAGGAGCCACAAACAGCACCAGCTCAAGTTCCTCAAGGCTTTAATGTTTTTGGACTGTCCAGTACATCTGGTGCTTCAAATTCAACACCACATCTTGGATTTCACTTAGGCAGCAAAGGAACATCAAACCTTTCTCAGCAAACTCCCAGATTTAATCCCATTATGGTAACCTTAGCCCCAAATATTCAGACTGGTCGTAATACTCCTACATCTTTGCACATACATGGTGTACCTCCGCCTGTACTTAACAGTCCACAGGGAAATTCTATCTACATTAGGCCTTACATTACAACTCCTAGTGGTACAACTCGACAGACACAGCAGCATTCTGGCTGGGTATCTCAGTTTAATCCAATGAACTCTCAAGTTTATCAGCCTTCACAACCTGGTCCCTGGACTACTTATCCTGCATCTAATCCTCTGTCACATACCTCAACCCAACAGTCAAGTCAGCAAGGCCACCAGACCTCTCACGTCTACATGCCCATCAGTTCACCTACTACTCCACAACCGCCGACAATTCATTCATCTGGTAGTTCACAGTCTTCTGCTCATAGCCAGTATAACATTCAGAATATTTCAACAGGACCTCGAAAAAATCAGATTGAAATCAAACTTGAACCCCCACAAAGGAACAGTTCTTCAAAATTGCGTTCTTCTGGACCTCGAACCTCCAGCACTTCCACTTCAGTCAACAGCCAGACCTTAAGTAGAAATCAGCCCACTGTTTACATAGCTGCCAGTCCCCCAAACACTGATGAGATGATCTCCCGTAGTCAACCTAAGGTTTATATTTCAGCTAATGCCACCACAGGAGATGAACCAGGCATGCGGAATCAGCCCACAGTCTTCATATCCACAAACTCTGGAGCATCTGCTGCCTCCAGGAATATGTCTGGGCAAGTGAGCATGGGTCCTACCTTTATTCATCACCACCCTCCCAAAAGTCGAACAATAGGCAGTAACTCTGTAACTTCTCCTCGAGTGGTGGTCACTCAACCCAATACAAAATATACTTTCAAAATTACAGTTTCTCCCAATAAACCCCCTGCTGTTTCACCAGGAGTTGTTTCCCCTACCTTTGAACTTACAAATCTTCTGAATCATCCTGATCATTATGTAGAAACAGAAAATATTCAGCACCTCACAGACCCTACGTTAGCACATGTGGATAGAATAAGTGAAGCACGGAAATTGAGCATGGGATCTGATGATGCTGCCTACACACAAGGTAATATTGGCACTAAGGGAAGGATAATTCCTGTGCTGGACTTACTGGATTTTATAGCAGTAATGGCTGTCAGCATTACTTTATCTTTTATGGGTTATCCCAGATAACATAATATTTGGAAGCATTCCTATAAATTTACATTACAGTTTTATTATATATTGGATACAGTTATCAGTTCTTCAGAATAGTCAGCTGTACTTTCTTTGGTTTTTGGATTTTTATTGATTTTGATGAGTTTTTTGTTTTGTTTTGTTTTTTGGAGTTTGGAGGTTTTTTGTTTTTAACGGTTTGTGATACATTCTTTTCAGTTTTTCTTGTATCTGTGGTAATACTGGCTTCCCATTAAAGCATCTACAAATGAAAACTCATAAAAACACACGTTTATGAGAGTGGTTGAAACTTCTTTGACCACATATTTTAAAAATAAAAAATTTTTCTTCTGATAAAAGTTACAGTCTTATCAAAAGTCTATTTGAATAATTTAACTCAAAAAATGAATCTTGTTCCTGATCCTTCTCTTTCAGTCTCAAACGTCATACATATGTGTGTGCATACACGTGCATGTATGTTTCAGAGTTCCCTAGCTGTTTTAATTATACTAGAAACTGTGTTAAAAATGGTGTTAAAGTTTACATTTCCCACATATCTGTAGCTAACTGGAACCATCTTTTGTTTCATTTGAGTAGTGCATGAATTTTAATATACCTTTATTTTTCTTCTTTCTTAAAGATTATTTTTCTCCTTTCCTGTTGTCAAAATAGCAGGCTTCCTGTGTTTGACTGCTTGCTGATATTTAAATGGATAGCAAATTTTAAAAAAATAGTTCGATAAGAGAAATTATCAAGTGAAATAGTCATTTACATTGAACTGAATATTACAGTTATATTAAGTTACTTGTATTTTCACCATAATTCACATTTTAACTCAAATGTTGATAAAAACATATTACTTAAACATGCCATCTACAGTTTTTTCTCCCATTCTTTCTTGTATCTACTGTACTCAGGATTTTTCCACTGCAGTCAACCAGAACTTCTGTTAAGGTCATCTGTGATAAGATTATTGCTATATCCAGTAGACATCTTTCAGCCATCATTTTCCTTGATGTGTGGATAACAGTATTTTAGTCAGTCAGTCATCTTGTTCTCTGTGAAACACTCTGCTTATTTAGTTTCAGGCAGATTATTGCAGTAGCCTTCTTGCTCTTAGCCTTGCCTCCTGTGATTTTTTGACGCAGCTACCGTCGAGACACTATTCCAAGCATACGTCAGATCCTGTGCCTGTGGGAGCATCTGATCCATTTGGAATAAAAGCCGTGAAGCGTACATGCTCTGCTTTCCTTTTCCCCACCAGCTCTTTTCCCTTTACGCACCATCTTGCTCACACTGTTCCAGCTTTACTGACCTTATTCTTCATTAATCATGGGAGCCATATCTCAGAGCCTTTTGTATTTGTTCTTCCTACTGTCTGAATTTTCTCCTCAGAAATCCACAGGTACCTTTCTCTCACACTTCAGTTCCTTACTTAAAGTCACCTTTTCAATGAGACATTCTTTGTCTCACTAACTAAACTTAACCCAGAACTCCCTGTGTCTCCCATTTCTCCAATAGGATGAATAATGAATAATATTAAGATACTTAATAATGAATACTTGCTGAAAGTTGCTATGAATTAATCACTTTTGCATATGCATTTGTTTCCCATGAGCACTATAAAGTAGACACTAACTTTTTTTTTCAGACTGAAACACTTAGGAGCAAATAGGTTAAATAACTTGCCGAAGTACAAGTGGTAAGAGTGAAGATTCTAACTAGAAAATTGACAGAACCCACACTGCACTATATCGTATTTTTATTCAAATTTTCAAAATAATCTTTTTTCAGATGTGTCTTGTTGCTTCATATAGCCGTGGCACACCACTTTGGGGCCTACATATGTCACAATTTGAGAAACATGGAGCTGAAAGATCATTCAGTAAACAACAAAAAGAAACAAATGAGCCAGGCCTGGTGGCACATGTTTGTAACCCAGCTGCTCAGGACACTAAGGCAGGGTAGTGAGTTCAGGGCTAGTCTGGACAATCTAAGAAAACCCTACAAAATAGGACTTGAGTGTAAGTTACAGAGTACCAAAAACAAATACAGCGGGGAGAAGTCACAATAAGCAGCTAAAACTAGAAATAACTTGAGACAATCCTCAAGGTTATAGAATACCTTCTGAAGCACCTGAAAATTAAAAAAAAAAAAACTTTCAGGTGTGAAGGCTCAAAAGCATTAAAGCTTACCAAAAAGTTTCCCAGAATGCACCACTCAGATTGCTTAGCAACAGCCTTCAGACGGCTATCACAACCTTCATCACTTCTTCTAAACATGTTTACATATGTATGAAATGTTGTAACAGTGGTGTGACTGTGTGGCTCTTGTATTGAGTGTTCATGCATGTTTTATCGGAATGCGTGCTATTCTGCACCCTTTTACCTGCTTGTTTATTTTATTACAAAAACGACATTGACCCGGGTTTACATATTAAGTGACAGTCTTAATCTAGTGTTTTATTAATCTGTTTCAAGATATATCATAGGACTGTTCTTTTCTTTAAATCTTTCATGCTTTTGCTCTACACATGGATAATACTTTATAACTCACACAGTGCTATCTATAGTATTAAATGGTGTGATCTAATACTGATCTTTAAGCAAAGGTCTTTTCAGAATTCTGATTTCAATAGTACGGGAGAAAAAAGTAGCTTTGCCTCCTGCAGTGAACTTGCTCTTTATAAGATTTTGAAACATACAGTGTCAGAGTAAAAAGATAAATCTAACCAGGTACTGGAATGAGGACAGTATTTTTCCCCAAATGGAGCAGGGGCCAAAGTTGGTAATCAAAATGTATTGTTTTTCTTATAGTCTACCATTTTAAATCCAAAAAGACTATAATAAATTCAGAAATGAAAATTTATTTTGAAAAGATATATTTAATATGTTCTCTGTTATAGTGGTCAGAAGAAAAAAAAAAAAGTAGATAATAGGAAGTAAGGAAATAGATCTTTCCTAAAGGGGAAGGTGGTCAAAAGAGGGAGAAACAGTGGAGAAAGGTAATAAAATTAAGGTGTTATATACATGTACCAACTCCACATTGTATATTACATCTATACTGCAAACATATGCTAATTAATGCTGTGACAGAGCCACCAGGCATGATGATTTGTACACACAGTCCCAGCTACTAGGCAATCTGTTGAGCCCAGATACTCAAGGTCAGGCTGGACAACAGAATAAGACCCTGCTTCTTTAAAAAATTATATATGTATTTGCCTTTCTAAATTTTAAGTTAAGTACTCCAAAAGCAAAAAAGGGAAGTAAAATTTATGAAATTTGACTACCTCCCTTATATCAGCACTAAACCTAAAACTACCACGAACACTACCATCCCTAAAGGAAGTAAATTAAACTTGAGTCTTTAAAGCATTACAGGACTCTAAGACAAAAACGAGTGCCAGATAGAAAACCTTGTTGAAGAGAAATTTAAGTTTAAAATTCCCAGATATAAAGAACACTCTTCTTCCATTTGTTAGGGAAAACAAATGTAGAAACAAAATTGCTTATCAGTAATCCTGTCACCCATCAGATAGTTATACCCCTCTCTCAAGATTCAAACCACCTAACTTCTGAAAAGTAGCAGAAGTATTCCATCACTTACTGTATTCTGAGGCTTTCTAGAGACCTCTTCCATTCATAATGGCATGTGTTTTATAGTGCTGGCAACTTTTACAGCTATGAAAAACAAATTGCTTTACTCATTAAGACTAGTTTTCATGGTAAAAGGAAGATCTATTTTGTATATTTTGTTACAAAACCAGCAAACCTAGCAAACTAACCCAACTGCCAAAAATGTTTTCTCATTCGGTCTTTTCAAGAAATCCGTCAGTAGTGTTGACCTAGCTGATAAACTTTTTTCAAGTTACATGTGTAAAATCATAAATACTCTTATTGATACTTTAACACCATTTTTTTCACAGTTACATTTGTGGTTTCATTATGCTATTAACTAGTAACTCTGACTTTGAACCTAAAATAGAAATGCAAGTAAAAAAATTGTGGGTCAAAAATCATTTTTTTGGACTTCATTTCTTTCATTTTAGTTTCTCACCAGTGCTTTCCTCCAAATCACAGTGACCTATGTATGAGATTTAATGGGGCACAAGTTCAATGAATTAGCTACTCTTTTCAAAAAGATATAATTTACTTCAAACCTTTACATTTGTACCTGGTTAAACTTAATGTATCTGCTGGTTGAAAAATGCCTTCTGTAGTGTTCTGAAGGATCAACTGATTATATAATCCCACAGTCCTATGCACCATATATGTGTTCTGTGTTGGCATTGAAATCACATTATTAAATAACTCAGTAATTAAAATTAATTAACATACTGGGTGTGATGGTGTATTGCCCATATTTCCAGCACCCAGGAGGCTGAAGCAGGAGGATCACTGCATGTTCAAGGACAGCCTCAGCTACATAATGAGTTCAAGGCCAGCCTGAACTTCATAGTGATATTTTTTTCTCAAAAAACTGAAAAAATAAACAAAAAGATTAATTGACATTAAGCTGTTTAAATTTTTTGTTTAAACTTTTTTTTTGTTTTCAGATTCTCAAATTAGCCCTATTGACTGTCAGTTCTTCCCAGTCTTAAATCTAACAACTTTTTAAAACTGTGTTAAATCCTAGGGTTGGAAGAGATTTTAAGGTTCACATAGAATTCTGCATAAAAAGTTACCCAGTCTACTTAACCAAACAGCATGTAGTCCTACAGGATATAAATATAAATCCATTCGCTACTTGAATACCTGTGTGTGTGATAACACAGGTATTCAAGATAACACATTCCATTTTTGGAGAGGCTTACCTACTAACAAGTTATTTCTTAAGTTATTAAACCAGTATGTAAAAAGCAATATGAAGCAACATGTACATGGGTAAGAAATTCTACCAAAAATGAGA